ATTGAAGGTTCAATAGAACAACATTTATTTGAAATATAAATATTTTTATAACATTATACACAAATTTACTGTCACGTTTGATAAATTGAATGCATCCTCGCTGAATAAAAATATTAATTTCTATTCAACAAAATGACTGACCCCAAAATTTTGAGTGCTAGTATATCTGTCACTTGTGAATTTTGCTTAACGTTCTATCTGTGAAATAATCCTTATTTATTATATTTTATATATTCTGACTTTGTATACAGGAGAAGATATCCTATATTCTCTCACTCTACAAAAAGTGTGTTTAAACAGAAAGGATGACTTGGGGGGGGGGGCGGTTTCTCCTTTTTTATTGACAGAGACAGTTGAAAATGGGCAGGAAATTATTAGTAAGATGATTTCCAGGCCTGCAAAAATAATGCAAATTAAAAAATCTTAAAAAGTCATGATCAGAATTGAAATATTTTATTGGCTAGAAATTATGCTTTGTTAGTTCAATCTCTATAAAATGAGATTATGAAATATACACAATTTGAACATTTAAATGTAGACTTTAAAATAATAATAATAAACATTTGTAATAATCCTCAAAATAAACAATGGGAAAGGTCATGAAAATTCATTGATTGTAAAGTGTGGGAAACCTAAACATTTTGCTTTTGTAATTTCTTGAACTATTACCTGTATATATTTATATATTATTTCCTGTATATTTATGAACTGTTTCCTGTAGATATCTAGTAAACCAAATATTCTGTTAATCATTGTATGTACCTCAGTAATGTTCTAACTCTTGACTCGTGGCGGTGTGGCAAACAGTGGTCTTCTGGGTTTGTGTGTGTTTGTGCAGTTTGTTGGTTCTCTGGAGATCCGTCCGAGCTTTACTCCAGATGTACACTCTGTGTGTGCAGACCACATCTCACAGAATCATGGGAGTTTGTGTCGTACATATCTAGAAGTTCGCACAGGCGCACAGAGCAGCAGAGGCAGCTGGATTGGCCCACAGATGTGTTATTATGAAGAAACGCTAGTTCTGAGTAAAGAATCATTTATTTGCAGATGCTACTTGGTTTGTTATTATGCCAAAAATATGTGATGTGTTTATCTGTTTCTTTATCTGTGAGTTGATGGGTGAATCCCAACTCAAGTAATGGCACAGTAACTGCGAAACATACGGTGTCCCTTAACAGCAACCCAAGAGATACGTCAGTATTGATTGACCTGACCAGAAGAGGTCAACACCTTGCTGTCATCTAACGTAATCCTACACAGAAAATATCCTGAACCAGTAACAGGAAGGCAACATAAGACTGCCATAATTCACTATATGGAACTGTTGTTGCATGCGTCATTTCTGCACAAAACTGTGAATTTAGCTCAAAAAGCACATACAATCCAACATGACCAGTCTGTAATAGCGTAAGCGTAACATATGTTGTGTTATTGCTCTGCATCATGGACAATTTCCAGATCATCATGGCAGATACTGGTTAGAGAATTTTACCACTCTGTGTCTTTCAAATAGTGAGTACGTTTACATGGACAACAATAATCCGATTTTAACACGATTAAGACAACACTCTGATTAAGAATCTACCATGTAAACAGAGATTTTTGATTACCTTAATCCGGCTAAAGTCATATTCGAAGTAAACAGAAATCGAATTAAGACATGGAGTATTCCTATTTTAGTCGCATTACTGTGGTGCAGTATAGACATGTAAACACCTTAATCACATTATTACCATCGTGTAGGACTTTTCGCCGCATTTTGCGACAGGATACACACACGGCAGTGGTCAACCGTTTGACGGCAAACAAAAGAGCTTCAACACCGCCATCGTCTGTATGCACGTACAAATAATTAACTGCACTTGAAGCTTTCATAAAATTAAAAATGAAACTGTAACAAAACTGTACATGGCATCATCACGAAGACGAACTATATGTTTATACGTGAAATTCCGGAGGGGACGTAATGACGTGTGCCATTAATCGAACTATTTCGTAACGGGAACATGAAAGGAATATTCTAAAAGCAACTCATGTAAACACCATAATCATATGGTATCATAATCAGATATTGGCTTATTTAGAATAAGGTTAATAATAGTAGAATAAGGTAAATAGTTAGATTACTGATGTCCATGTAAACGTAGTCACTGTCTTAATGTGTGTTCCTATATTCAAGTGTTCCTGTGGCTCAGTGGTAGAGCATTGCGTTAGCAGCGCAAAAGGTTGTGGGTTCGATTCCCAGGGAACACACACAGGCTACTGGTAAAAAACAAAAAAAAATGTATAGCCTGAATGCACTGTAAGTTGCTTTGGATAAAAGCGTCTGCTAAATGCATAAATATATTAAAAAATATATATTAATGCATTTCTGTGAAATAGTTGTTTTTGTGGCCGTGTTGTTGCTGCTGCCTATCATGCTGAAAATGAACGGGGATCTCGTGGTTGTACTGTACCATGTAAAAACATCCCTCCTGACCAAGTTTATAATGTACATTAATAAAATAAAGTAACAGATAATTATTAAGTAAGTAAGTAGATAAAAACTAGCTGGGCAATGTGCCAGCTGGGCAATTTCTCTTTTCCCGACTGCCCCCGATGGCCAGTATGAGTCTGCCTTATAATATTTAGCACAGTTATTAACAATAAAAATAATGGCACTTCGAGTGAAAAAGGTCATCCTCTGTGTCTTTTTAAACTACTCCACAACGTGTAGTGTAAATGATTTAAAGCACTCCACGCCCACACCCCCGTGCTAGTGGTACAGCCCACGGGCAAATTATAAGACGAAAAATCGGTTCGATTTCATTGATTACAGAACCGGCTTTCTGACAAGATGCGCGTTAAATATCGCATGCGATTAATCATGCAGCCCTAATTCAAATGATTGATTCTGAAGTCAAAGCAAAAGTATCTATTGATAAAGTATATGAAAAAAACTTCTGAATTGTGAAGCGTTCCATGGACCGACCGTGTAGGTTCTTGCTGAAAATCTGATATTTTCATCACACTGAACAATAAGGATTTAGTTCTCCTGTGATGCATGCATGTTTAATGTGGTAGACGAACTAAATAAACTAGTGAACGTGTAAAATTGTTTTAAGAAATGTATTTTCTAAAATAAAAATGAACTATTCTGCTGAAGAAACAATTAATTCCTTTACTGGAGCTAGTGCTAAATGAGCAATATCACTCGAGTATGAGAGCGATACCGGCTCTATATCAGCATGGCTGTGATTAGGCCGGAGGCAATCACAGCCGCTGATATAGAGCCGGTATCGCTCGAGTACGAGAGTGATATTGCGTTTATACAACAGTTCGATGGAACATGTGTGTAATTAAACAAGAAACAATGGAGTGCCTAATAAAGGCTTCTGTGCGGAACTACTTCCTTCAGCCACGGATTCAAAGCTCAATTTGACAGTTAAACATACGTCACTTTTAGAATTCGTATCAAGGGCATGTGCTGCTTCAGTTAGGTTATTAGTGAGAAATAATGAGGTTATAAGAGAGAAACAATGCGGCAAGAGATGCATCCAAATGAGAGAGAGAGAGTCGTTCCTTCTTATATTAACTAACGTACTCTACGATTAGCTCAGTGAATAATAAAAAAAAAAACATAGACCCGGCTAGAACAAGCGGAGTGATACAAAATTGTGAAAGGGCGTTCCTGTAGCGATACCAGTACAATATCTCACGGGTCTCAACCAATCAGATTTGAGAACCAGAACGAACTGTTGTATAAAAACAGACAGCAAATGAATTCAGCTATTAGGGATTCATTTGTTCTTTGTTAATTCACCCTAAAATCGATTTTGAATATCTCCTAATTTTCATTTGTGTCCTGGAGTGCTGGTGTTTCAAGTAGTGGGATTGAAGGGGACAGAGTGTACACAATGAGGCAGACAACTGATTGTCCAGATTGATAAAGCCTTCTTTCTAAACATTGCCCACTAATTGTATAATGGAAGGAGTGGAAAGGGAGAGGTCTCAACAGGAAGTTGACAGAGAGTAAGAGTTTAATATTAGCAGATGTATATTACGTTGATGCACACATAACTGCACACTCATGTTTCCTGAGTTCAAAAATGGTTGGTTACATTTCTACAAAACTACAGATAAGTTAGCTGGTGTGGCAGATCACGTCTTCTCGTACTGTGTATTTGTGTGAAGGCGAATTGCATTTCAGGGCTCACGTCCCCTCTGCAGTGAGGGTTGGGTTGCTATGGCAACACTGCACTACTGAGGAGACGTACAGATCCTTAACTTGCATCCCACTGTATTTGAATGCGTTTTTTGAGGTCAGTGTTAAGTAAACACAAACATGAGCATCTGTCTATGATCATGAGTGGACCATTGATTTGATGATTTGATACTGGTCTTTGGTTTGTGGGCTATTGACCAATCAGGACAAGCCTCTCTTTATCACTTTATCATTTTTTCCCTTTTCTGACTGATTAATGGCCATTTGTGTATTTTTTTTTTCTTTCTTTCTCCTGTCTCAGCTTACTTGTACAGACAATTATAATAATGCCAAGTGGCTCTGTTGCCCTATCAAAACATTACTGTGTTTGTGTGAGAAACCAGTCACCCTGACTCAGAAACACTGACTCAACCAATGGTGTTAGTGTGGGGCGGGACTTTCTGTTTGTTTTACCAATGGCAGACAGCGAGTGTTCAGGAAACATATTTGGAATAAGTTTTTTTTTTCTATTTTACTAATGACCCTACTATTGAGCTCTTTGTTAAAGCAATAAGCCCCAAGAAGCCGTGGTTTACAGTGAATTTATAACAGCTAAGGGGCGTTGTTAGGCACAAAACCCCCTTAGCTGTTATAAACTTTATAAGCTGTTATAAACTTTTATAAAACGGTTATTCCATATACGTAGTTAGGTTTCACAAAATAAAACAGAGCAAATAAAGTGTAATGATATGAATAAAAACAGTATTCTTCCACCAAACAATGTAGTTCCTCAGAAACAGTTGTGGCTTGAACACACAAGTAAACAAAGGTGTTTGTTTGTAGAGTAATTTACAACATCTTCGAACGCGGCTCAACCAATAAGAATCAAGGACTGGAACTATCCGTTTTATAATACAAATTTTATGCTTTACAGAAGGCTCCATAGAAATTAATTGAATAAATTATTTGTTTTTAGTAAAACTTGCATATAAAGTGGTAAAATAATTAAATATTATTCTTATTTGGGCTGTAATGAAGTAATATTGCAAGGTATAGCCGTGGTATTTTTTCTTTATGGATTTGCTGATGAACAGAAAGTTCGAAAGAACGGCATTTATTTAAATAGCAATCTTTTGTAATATTCTAAATATATTTACTGTCAAGTATATTTACTTGATCTGAATTAAGGTATTCATTTATTAATATATGTGTGTGTGTGTGTGTGTGTGTGTGTGCACTTTAGGTACTAATATGTACTTTTAAAGTACTAATATATACTAATAGGTACATGTTAGTACCTTTAAAGTACACATTTAGGGGTAAATAAGGTACAAAGATGTACTTTTTTATCTTAGGTACCTGTGTCAGCTTAGTACAACTGTTATATACTGTTATAGTTCAACTGTTAACAAGATGAACTATACTGGTGGTTATTCTGCTGAGACACCTGTGTGAACTTGAGAGGAACTGACTTCATGCTTTCATGAAAAATTATCTGGTTAAAAATTATTGAAAACCTGTCTCAGAAAAGTACAGTTAGTTGTACAGTAAGAAAAGCGCCCGCATCATTTATTTGCAGATTCTGCTTGGTGTTATGTTTTGTATCTAATGCATTAAAATTCAGACATTTTGAAGTGCCCAAATATTTTTTAGAGCCACTATATAACCTCTCTGGGTACCAGTGTGAATCAGCAACAATGATTTACCATAAAACTGCTTTTTAAATGATCTAAACACACAGATCCTCCATAGCATTACACTGAACAGCAAAAGCTGTTCTGATAATATAACCGCAATAGTTGCTAATACATGATTGGTCAGTAATGTTTTTAAGGTGGGGCTTAGCGAAGAATCAGTTCAGTCTGGTGACATTACTGGTGCACATATTACACACTTCAACTTAAAGCACCCATTTAAGTTACATTGTTTTCGAAGATGTTTCTTTTTTGACAGTATGATGTAGTATCTAGTCTGAAACTACGAATAGATGAGACTCTTTCAAATTTCCATAGTGAATTACTGTCGGTGGCATTGATTTAATTAATGAGATGGGCGACTGGAAGGGCACGGGTGTAGGAATGTGTGTGTGTGTGTGTGTGTGTGTGTGGG